AAACCTGGATGAGGGCCAGTCAGCCTACCATCTGCTAATCTAACTTGAGTTTGTTGTAAGTTTGTCTGTGTGTTGGGGAGGGGAGGGGGTGTATCGGTGGGCTAACAGAATAACAGTTGAAGGGAGCTTGGGAGGTTCTTCTGGTCCAACCCCCCTCCTGCTCGAGCAAGAGACCCTTTTCCATTTCAGACGATACGATGGGTCAATCTGGTCTTGAAAAATATCTCCAGTGATGGAGCCTCACCTAGGCATGGTGTAAGCTCAGAGTGTAACTGTGAATCCACAAAGGTGGCTCAGCCGGTAACCAGGAAGTGTTGTGTGAACGCAACGAAGCGGTTACTGGGGAGGGGAGGAAGATTGGAGAAGAATGTTAAGTTTGTTCTGTGGCTTTTCGCTGCCAGGGGTTTTATGTTGCCAGGGCAGGCCCAAACTCTCCGAAGTTGCCAAGTTGTGTCGTTAGAGCTTTAAAAAAAAAAAAAAGAATGCGCTCTCTCTCCGCCCCCCCCCCTTCTCTCTCCAAAAATTGACGTCAGTTTTTTTTCTGTTGCAAGCAAAAATCAAGTTCTAGCCAAGGCCACTAGATGGAAATGCACAGGTTTTGATCTGCGAATGGAAGAACAGCAGAGAGCCCTCGTTGAATTGGCTCCCCGGGATATGAATTGGAGCGCCTCTCCCTTCCTGGGCCTATCCTGAATTTCCTCATAGCAATAGCAGTTAGACTTATATACCGCTTCATAGGGCTTTCAGCCCTCTCTAAGCGGTTTTACAGAGTCAGCATATCGCCCCCAACAACAATCCGGGTCCTCATTTCACCCACCTCGGAAGGATGGAAGGCTGAGTCAACCTTGAGCCGGTGAGATTTGAATTGCCAAACTGGTGGCAGTCATCAGAAGTAGCCTGCAGTGCTGCACCCTAACCACTGCGCCACCTCGGCTCCTCATGGTTGTTCCTACTAAGGGGTTGTTTGCTAGAACTAAAATATAGCTCCCACCAGATAGAAGCAATCACTGGTGGGAACAGCCTGGCCTCATGAAGAATCATGCAGACTATATCCATTCTACCCTCTGCTCAACACTACATGGTTTAGGATCAGGAAGAGATCCCAGATCAGGCCCATTATCCTCTGCTGCTTCCAGCTCTTCTGGATGCTTTGCAGTCAAATCAGCCTC